ATTACAGCCTTCAGCAGATAGCCTCAAGGCAATATGGGCTAACAGGTTTCCACGGGGAGAAGAAAAAGTCAGAAGTCCTTTTGGATATGATAACTTCAAGAGTTCCGGTGCTAAAGCTGTTTAATTTTTGCTGGCACTTGCTAGCACAAGTATTCGATAATTTGAGTCAAACAAAAAGTTATTTTAGATTCTATGATTTGACTGAATTTTGGAAAAATTGTTGTCTTTTACTTTGTATAATCCTTTTCTTAGGATGGTCTAATGGACAGTAAAGCCATGTATTTATTATGACACGATGATCAAAGATGTGCTTAAGGGTACAAAAAAGTCTCTTTTGGGTGGTACTTCAGAACAGGGAATTATTTGGATCTTATGCTAATGACTGCTTCAGATCTGTTAAACAGTCAAGTGGCATTTTTCAGGACAGTAATGCCTTGCAAGTGAGTTGGAAAAGGTACATTTCGTGAACTTGTAGGAATGTTCCCCTAAGTTCCTACAATCAAGTGCTGAGAAGGCAGGTCTAAGAATCCTCAAGCATTTGTTTCTTGGAAGCAGGGACATAACTAGGAAAAAGAAACTCCTTTAAGATACAGAAAGGAGTATATTGTACTTTCAAACATTTTTTATCCGTTTATGCTAATCTGTCTTTCCTTACCAGTGTCTTAAGTCACCTTCATCTGATTTTCATCTTAAACAGGAGCAGATTTCCTTTTTATCCTCAGTTCCTCTTTCATTGGCACCTCCCACCTCTTGTTTGTTGAAAAATTAACAAACTTTCAACCTGAGGCAGATAACTAATGTTGAAAATCTTACAAGAGACTCTTAATTTAAGTGTAAAGACATTGAAAATAGGGATTTGTAGTAAGAATATATGTTGTGCAGTCTTTATTTCAAGCCTTTGGTTCAGCCTGTAGCGATACATGTAGGAACCCGTATCAGCAGCCAGTTCATGCCGAATGGACTGAAATACTGCAAGAAGTGAATTTGTTTGGGTATAGTTGTAGAAGAATTCTGTTTTGGTTATTCGCTTCAGTCCACTGTGTAGGTTTGTCTACAAGGATAATGCTCAGATGATAAAAATACATACTTGAAGCTGAAATTCTTTATAGTCATTCCTGTGAGTCCTGAATACCTAGAAACACATAATGTTTGAAGTAATATCACCCTGGACTGTTTTAGGGAAGCCAGTAACTTGAAGCAGGACTGAATATGACTAGTAACTTGCACATGAATTAATTACCTCACCATCTGAGACTCCTACGAAGCTTATGCTTCTTGAGGCTATTCTGCATTTGTACGGTGTCTTTTAGTCTCACTTTTAGACATTTTGCTGTATTTGTACAATACCCACTAACTTCAGGGCATGACTGGAACTTCAGTGTCCTAAGAAACGTGAATAGAGATTCTTCTTAATGAGGGAGTTGATAGGCTTTTTTGAACTGTAGACTAGCTTTAAGTTCAGTCTAGGATTTCCAATGGAGTATGCAGTGAATTGCAAACTGAGAAAATCTATTGCTAAGATTGAAATAACAGATTCTTACCTTTAAAGTAAAGACAGTTAAGAATCATCATCAGTGTTGTAGGGTTTACATTCACAAGAGCTTCCTTTATTAATCCTTTGGTCAGCTTCAAGATGCGTTCATTGGTTTTAGTTATGAAGTTGGGATCTGAAAAATCAGCTGGCTGGGCATCGGCAAAGTAATATGTTTTCATATTGTTTCTGAAATCATTCAGAATAGAGAAGTCCTTCTGAATGTAAAGGTCATTGACAGACCTCAGTGTGTAACCAAAATTGCGCCTGAACAGCCGATGAGTGAGTTTGCGGAAGAGATTATGAACAGTCATGAGCTCGTATTTGGTGCTAGCGTTAACGAAGTCTTGAAAGCCCAGAACAGATAATATTCCCTGCTGAGTGTGCCCCTTCAGACCCAGAGAAATCATAGCCATTGCAGTGGAGATGCCAACAGGAGCCATGAGAATATTCTCTGAAGAGTTGGCTTTGTCTGCCACACTGCGGTAAAGGTTGAAGCCAAAGTTGGCATTGAGGATGTTGAGGCGCTGGATTCTGGTTTTGCCCTGGAACAGTTCAAGAATATTTCCTTGCTGAATTTCAGAAACTATGTATGGGCCAGCATCGATAATGTCACCGTAGTCATCTTCACTCAGTATCTTGTCAAGATCTAGATAGTCCTCTTCCTCCTCCTCTTCAGGAAGCAAGTCATTAGTGATAGTGTTTTCTCTGTGGAACTCTGGTGGTAAGTTTGGCATGTCATAGCTCCCGTTTTCGTGTGACTGCGCATCTTTAAGGCTTTCAAAATGCTCAATGACGTCCTTGACTCCACAAAATGTGGAGGTTACGGTGAGAGCAAAGGCAAACAAGTGAAATAGGAACTTCATTCTGGCAGATCAAAGCCTGGAAGACAACACAGAGAGAGCATAGGGTAAATTTAGTTGTCTACTCCCTGATTTCACATCCACGCTGAATTCTGTCACAGCAGAAGGTCTATAGTTACCTTACTTGACAGCTTTTTTTTTAAGTGGAACAGAGCTTAATTAGATGCATAAATCTGTTTTACTGGTAATTGGTTTTGCTTACATAATGGCTCTAGCCTGCCAGAGAATCGGTTGACCTCCTCCCATGGAAGTTGTCATTATTGGCATCTTTCCGCAGTAACTAACTCGCTACCTAAAATATGTGGGACTCTTTATTTATAAACCTGTAACACTTCAAATGTGTACTAACTGTTACTAGTGTATGCTAAAAATAGGACATAAAGATAAGTTTGAAGATTCGGGCTTGGTAGGAGGGACTAGGCACCCAGCAAAAGAGCGTGCCAGAAGGCTGAGAGGTACTGGAGAACTTGAAAAACAGACATTCTGTAGCTACTAGAAAAAATGGGAGTTTCATGGGGGTATTTTTGGAGGAGCAAAGCTGAAGTTAGGTGGAGTAAAGGAGATGTAGGGATTTAGCAACAAACCTGGAGAAAGGTGTGCGTTTGCACTAAGTACCATTAGTACGACTGCACTGTTAAAACAAAAGTCTAATGATTTGATTAGAATATGTTTTAAATTAGCAAACAGACCAAAGAGCTCTTGTGTAGAAGTAAAATATATAGATATACATACCTGGATGTCTGTGAATAAAACCACTGCTTGAAGGAAAATATTTTCAAACGTTGTAGCAGGACTAAAGTAACTGAACAGCTTAATTTTTGAAACTCTCTCCCAAACTAATTACCCTGAAATCCTAAAAGCGTTTAAAGTGATTATCCCATACAAAAAAAGGAATTCTTTTGCAACAGGGAAGGATCCGCAGAAGGTACTTTCTTTTTAAATGGTTTTTACACTGTGACTGAACAACTTGTGTTAGTCTTTTTCTTACTGTTTCTCCACAAATTCATGACTTTTTTTCCCTGCCCCCAGAAGTCAAGCCCTTAGGGCTGAAATACTCTGTCCAGTAACCACTGATAAATGTTTTCTGCTTTTGGCACGGAAGAATTTGCTGTCTGCGATTCCCAGCTTTACATTCCTATCTTCAAGAATGTTCAGTTATTGCTTAGCTGCACCCGCAGGCAAAACATTCCCCCACTCTGCGATATAAATGTCTTTGGTCAGATCTACCTAAAATAACAGAAGATGTAAATGAAGCTTACCTTTCAGCCACTGTACGGAAAGGATGTGTTGAATAGCTCAAGCAAGGGGAATGGCAGGGTTTAAATCTGAACTTTGACGCTAGTTTTTTGTGTATCTCCCAAAGTAAACATTCTCTAAACCAAACACTGCTGAACTTACTTCGTCAGCCAAAATCCCTCCCTTGCCTGGTGATCTCTGCTGAATCGTATGCTGTTTGTTGAACTACTTTTATGGCTTTGCAGGTACTTGCTCTCTGTTGAGGAAGATCTTTGGGCAAAAATTGGCATGTACGTAAAGTTTCAAAGCCAAGCATACACGTAAACTTGGCTGTTAATGACCAGGACAAGTGTTGCTGCTACGTTGCACTGAAATGGGGGGGAAATCTTACTGCAAATGCAGTTGTGGCCGCAGTGACTGATGGTCGGGCTTCTTCAGTCAGCATTATATTGGTGCAAACATTTGCGTTGCACAAGCAACTTTTTACAATAGTGCCATTCACCAGCTTAAACTCACGTTAATTTTACTATAATAGAGGGATTTTATTTTCCTTTTTTTTTAATGAAAACTTCAATCTCCATTAGAATGCAACATTTTTTAATGAAGTTTACAGTAATAATGCAGTCAGATTGAATAAAGCTTGCAGTTCAATGGGCCATTTCTTTCACTTTTTAAAGACTGTCTGTGCTTCTAATTCTTTTTAGGATAACACGTGATGAGCTTTGTTATATAAATTTATCTAAACTTGCATATCATGTCAGCTAGGAGCTCCTTCAGTGATAGCGGCTGTTTGTGCAAAAATTACCAGAGAATTTTAATAACTGTGTTAAAAATAATACTCTTTTACTTGCTTGTTTAGATAGTAAATTCTCCAGAACTGATGTCATTGTGTGCGTGGGTGCAAACAATGAAAGATCCCCAATTGGAGCCTCAATTTATTTCCACAAAGCTAATAAACAATAGCAGCCAGAAGTATGTTTGACTAATATTTATTTGGGTTTGAGTTCCTTTGTGCTGAAGCAAAGCTGCATGGCATTGTCTTCGGCACAGTTTAAAGAACCCTGTGGTCTCTTCCTCTCTGCGGTTGATAGTGTACTGATGTTAGGTATTCTCTTCAGGGGTTACTGTATCGGCATGGTATTATTCCTGGGTAAAACAAAGGAAATCCTTACTTTGGCAGCTCAAATGTTAACATTTCAGATGTTCTGACAAGATCTAATTTTCTTCAATGTAACAATAGTAATGTGATACTAGTATTCATAGGTGACATAACTCATAGTAAAGAATGTGTATGAATTGATTCCTTAGAAAATAATTAATTTATTGTAACTCCCACCATTTTCTGATGGTTTTTTTTGTTTTCTTCATAGCTCACTAGACGCTTGCCACCCATCAAGGAGGCCAAAGCCAGGTTGCAGAAGTTGTTCCGTGACTTCTGGCTGTATTCCGTGCTGATGGGATTTGCCGTGGAAGGATCAGGTAGTGTAAACTCTAAGAGAGCAACGTCACTGCTCACATTTAGACTCTTGGTGAATCTGAGTGTAACTGCAAACTGTTCACAGTAGGCTGAAAAAAAATTAGAGGTATAAAGACATTGTAAAGGAAGCAGCTTACATGGCAATTCTCTGGTAGGATTTCTTCACTCTTTTGCTGTGAGATTGAGCACTGTACAACTCGTACTGTGTTGTTTTTTTCCTAAGCTAATACAGCAGTTAGCCTTAGTTAAGTATGACTTCTGATAGCTCAATTCCTGAAATGGAAGATCAGACACACAGGGTATGATGATAGTCAGGTAGAGACTTCTTACCCATTGGGAAGCTTCACTTGGAATTACCTACATGCGTTTATTTTGTTTGGAAAATGTGTCACTTCTGTTGAGTGTTTGTGCTTAAATGCATGAAAAATTGGCCCTGGGAAGTAGTACAAAGCTTGATAATGTTAGTTAACTTTGTCAATCTTAATATTGTTTTTATCTCCCACCTCACCTTCCCCTTTACGCTTGTGCTCCAGGTCTCTGGCCAGAAGAATGGTATGAAGGTGTGTGTGAAATTGCCACCAAGTCTCCCTTACTCACATTTCCCAGCAAAGAACCACTTCGATCTGTTCTTCAGTACAATTCTGCCATGAAGAATGATACTGTGACTTCTGTGAGCTTTAATTTCTTCTGTTTTCTCCTTCCATCGTGTCTGTCATAAATTATATGGTAGCCATGACTTACTGAAATAGCACAATATTCATTCAGCCTGCCTCTGATTAGTGAAAAACAGATAGTTTTTATACTACTCTTATGACGGCAGTGTACATAAATGGCTTGCGCTTAATTTTATTTAGGGTGGTAACTACACTGTTTTGATCAAGTATGGAAGCTAAGTCTGTGTGAAGCTGCAAGTCTTCTGATAGTTTTTCATCCATTTTGCATCAGACCAAACTTGTACTGTTTAAAAAATGGAAAAACAAATTCTGGAAAGAAATTACACATTCAGTCTTTCAAAGAAATGTTAAACGAGTTTTTTCCCTTTTTATCCTGTCTTGGTACTGATATACTTTCTCTCCCTAGTGTTTGCAGGATAGATTTTACCTGAGTATTATTTGTGGTAGCAATATAAAGTGGATTGAAGAGTTGTGGCTTATGAAGTGCCTTTTTCTGGCTCCCAAATAATACAAAAATCTTCGTTATGCCTAGATACTTAGTTCTATGACATCAAAGAAGAGCAGAACAGACCTGTGAAATTTTAGAGAAGCTAGACAATGTTGATGTAGATCAAAATTATATATGCTTAGTGTAGGAATTGCATTTCCTCATCCTTGGTATAACTGCAAGGAAGCTAACAGTTATGTCAGAAGGAAGCTTAACTCCACTGTTTAATTCTGTTTAGTTCTGCATTTGAAGAATCAGGACTTGCTGAGTCAGAGCACATTGGTCGTAGTCTGTAGACAGTCATAGTCTGACATATTGCTTGCAGAGGTTAAAAAGCAAAAAGACTAACAGCTGAAAGCACGTGTTTTCAGAACACAGACTAATACAGTACTCCCACATCAGATAACTTCACGTATTCATCTCTAGGCTGAACTAAATGAGTTGCGGAGTACCATCATCAATCTCCTGGATCCTCCTCCAGAAGTGTCAGCGTTGATCAATAAGTTGGACTTCGCCATGTCTACCTATCTCCTTTCTGTTTACCGCCTGGAGTATATGAGGTATATATATATATATA